GAGCCAATTAAGGACCAAGGCGGAAATCTTATTGTGGAGGCAGAGGGCATGGCTGATGTACTGAATAAGTACTTTGCATGTCTTCACAAAATAAGTGGATGCACCAAATGCTGCAGTATCAGAGAGGGCAGAGGAAATGAATAGGATAAGTATAAACAGTGAGGAAGTATTGAAAAGGTTGACTGGGCTCAAGGTAGATAAGTTGCCTGGTCCGGACGGGATGCAACCAAGGTTACTGTGGGAGGCACGGGTACAAATAGCAGAGGCTTTGGCTACAATTTTTCAATCTTCGTTGGACACAGGGGTGGTGTCAGAGGACCGGAGAGTGGCTAACGTTACTCCCTTGTACAAAAAGGGGCAGAAGGACAAACCTGGAAACTACATGCCAGTCAGCCTAACATCAGTAATAATAATAATAATAATAATAATAATAATCCTTGCATTTGATATAGCGCTTTTCACGTCAGGAGGACGTCCCAAAGCGCTTCACAGAACACACTGTAAAGTGAATTGACTGTATATTTGTGGGCGAACGCGGCAGCCAATTGCGCACAGCAATGTCCCAGTAGTGGGGAAACTCCTGGAGACTATAATCCGGGACAGAATAAATTTTCACTTAGAAGAATATGGGTTAACTAGGGACAGCCAGCACGGATTTATTAAAAGCATATCTTGTCTAACAAATCTAATAGGATTTTTCGATGAGGTAAAGGAGAGGGTGGATGAAGGTAGTGCAGTTGATGTAGTTTATATGGACAAAGTGCCACATAAAAGACTTGTAAGAAAAATAGAAGCCCATGGTGTAAAAGGGACAGTGGAGGCATGGATCCAAAACTGGCTGGGAGACAGAAAGCAGAGAGTTGTAGTGAACGGTTGCTTTTCTGACTAGAGTGAAGTGTACAGTGGCGTCTCCGAGGGATCGGTATTGGGATCACTGCTCTTCTTAATATATACAAATGATATGGACTTGGGTATAGCAAGTACCATTTCCAAGTTTGCGGATGACACAAAGTTAGGTAGGATAGTAAACAGTGAGAAGGATAGTAGCCAACTGCAGGAAGACATAGACAGAATGGTAAAAATGGGCAGATGAATTTCAATGTGGAGAAATGCGAGGTAATGGATTTTGGAAGAAAGAATGAGGGGAGCCAATATAGGCTAGATAATACAATCTTAAGGTGGGGGGGTGAAGAAACAGAGAGACCTGGGGGTTCAGGTAAATGAATCCTTGAAGGTGGCAGGACAGGTAGATAAAGCTGTAAAAAGGGTAGTTATCGAATCGGTACTATCCCATCGAATCGAATCGATGGGATACTAGGTTTTATAAATAGGGGCATAGAGTACAAGAGTCAGGAGGTTATGATTAACCTATATAAAACACTGGTTAGGCCCAAGTTCTGGGCACCACACTACAGGAAAGGATGTTAAGGCATTGGAAAGGGTGCAGAGGAGATTCATAAGGATGGCACCAGGAATGAGGGACCTTGATGATGAGGAAAGGCTAGAGAGGCTGGGATTATTCTCATTGGAGCAGAGAAGGTTACGAGGAGACCTAATAGAGGTCTTCAAAATCATGAGGGGATTTGATAGGTTAGAAAGGGAAAAACTGTTTCTACTGGTGGGTGTGTCAGTGATTCGAGGTCACAGATTTAAAATAGTTTCTGAAAGAAGAGGGGAGGTGAGAAGAAATTTTTCACGCAGCGAGTTGTTCGAATCTGGAACACATTGCCTGAAAGGGTGGTCGAGGCCGATTCGATAACTACTTTTAAAAACGCAGTGGATGGGTATTTGAGGAGGACGGGTTTGCAGGGTTATGGGGAAAGGGCTGGGGAGTGGGATTGACATTCCATTGTTCCTTTCAAAGAGCCGGCACAGACTCGATGGGCCGAATGGCCTCTTTTTATGCTGTACGATTCTATGATTCTATGATAAGACATTAGAACAAAAGGACATAGGTTCAGAGTTGTGAAGGCCAATTTCAGACACCAGGAAGCTTTTTTGTTCATAGAGGATAATCAATAACTGGAACAGGTTACCAGGAAAGGTGTTTTAGGCCAGGACAGTGGACTTATTCAAAAAACAGCTTGATGTTGTGATGGGGATGGGGGGGGGGGAGAAATGATAGGTTGGGCATTCCAGAGGCATGGGAATCAGACAGGCCAAAGGACCTTCTTCATTCAAACCGATCTTGTGAGGAGATTATTGTACAAAATAATGATCAAAGTGAATGACTTCCAATGACATCTAACTTTGAGAAGTAAAGTTTAAATGTCTTGGAGTATATCTGAACATTGACTTGGCTATATTACCTTGAATCCCCTCAGTAAGTACTTTACGTACTGGAATTATTTTGTTTCCAGCTTGTAAAGTAAATAGACTCGGCAGGTCTTGCTCTTGCAGGAACTGGCTGCCGTCCTTCAAGACAAGCAGTACAAACTGCACTGACCAGAAGAGGCATGTCGCCAGATCATGTGATTCATCTGCTGTTAGAAGGTGGTTGCATGCATAACTGTTACTGATTTACTGAGAAACGTACTTGGATTCTAGTAATGGAAATTACAGTCATGTTTATCTGAACACGGCGCTAACCAGACTTTGTTATTGCTTGCCAGTCAGTGAGTCTGGATGAATACATCCTAGTGTGCTTTTTAGAATTGTGAAGCTGATGTAGAACATTTATCATTAATTACTAAGGTATTATATATTGATTAACATTTCGACATTCAGTGCAAATTCAAGATTGTTGCATATTAGTTATTAGTCTTTCATATTTGCATGGTGCTCTTTACACAAAACTGTAGGTTGAGAACAGTTTCGAGAACTTTTAAAGAAACTGTTACAATTCGTAACTCATTTTCTCCATCGAGCTTAAAAAACATCAAATTTTCCTGACTTGTGTGACCAAACATGTGAACTTACCTGAAACAAGAGTAAATATTTTTTTCCAATTCAATCTGATCGGATCTAGCTTCCATATCACACTGGGATAGATTCAAATGTTCTTCCTATGTGCCAAAGCTCCCGTTTATTAATCCATTGCAAAGTATGACTGAAAGAAATAGTGTTCAATTCAAGTACTTTCATGTCAACATTTATGATATCAAACCCCTTAACGAGCATTCTCAAATTCTACCAAGTATTCCTAATATTTCAAACGAGGCTATTTTACTCACACGAAAACAATTAAATTGGATGACTTGCTCACTCTATTTAGGTCTGTGATATTTGGTTGTAAGAAAATGGACATGATTTCCATAGTTGTATTGAACTGAAAGATTAGTGCAGTCAAATAGTTCCCTAACTGATCAGCAAGCAAAACAATGCCTGGTCATCAACAATGTAGCTTTCACTATGTTAGGCAGCATATCAAGGCATTATATTCATACACACACACACATGTGCCCAAGTGGCTGCCTCAGTCTTTATTGACCAACTGAGAAGATAAATGTTCAATGACTGTAAATCCAATGCTAGCTCCCAACCTGTGCTTTGCATGACTGGTCTGCCCCTGAATGGCATGTCCTTGATTCATGGATGTGATTTAATCCTGGGTCATGACCTTAACACAATAACCAAGGTTATCTGGGATTAGTTTCTAATCAATCCTCAGAATTATTATCAATGATAAATGAATCAATATGGGAATGGTATCAATGATCAATGAATCAATATGGGAATGATATAATGTGCTATATATATATATCATATATATATGATATAATGTATATTATATCAGCAGAAAATTTCTAATGAAAACATAGTTCTCTAAGGCTTATGTAATATATTTCTGAGGAGCTTATGTATCAACTGTCTTCTGCACAGACATTCCTGTAATCAAACCTACAAACGAACCATTGATAAAGCTCCAGTAATAACTCACAAGGCTGTTTAATGCCACAATCCTAGTACTAATTACATTGACAAACCAGCAACAGGTTTAAAAAGCAGCACCTCAGCCGACCATTGTAACCATTAATAATAGAATTACATGCAAAATTTCTGTTGCAGCAAAGAGCAATTTTTAAACTTGTAATAATAATAATAATCCTTGCATTTGATATAGCGCTTTTCACGTCGGGAGGACGTCCCAAAGCGCTTCACAGAATATACTGTAAAGTGAATTGACTGTATATTTGTGGGCGAACGCGGCAGCAATGTCCCATAAACAGTCGTAGATTGAAAATGACCAATTTATTATTGTTTTGGGTTTTGGAGGGATTATTATTAGGCGTGCGGAGTAAGGAAACTTGCCCAAGGTTTCGCCCTGCCTGGAATTGAACTTAGGTCTCTCGCTTGCAAAGCGAGTGCTCTAACCCCTGAGCTACAGGACTCCACAATAGTAGTAGAATCTGGGCGGTGAGGGGTTGGTGGATGCTGTTTATTTTCTAAGTTTTATATTTTGGGAAACTGCCAATAAACTAGATAGTAACACATCTCTCTGATCTTCTCCTATCCCACTCTTCTGCTCGCCCCCTCTGCTCGGTTAACTTGGGCTTGCTGCCCTCCCCATGGCATTCATGGCTAAGTGTTCAGATTCCACATCCTAAGCTCTGGAACTCCCTCCCTCTAACCTTCCATCGCTCTCTGTTGGTTTTTAAGTCCCGTCTCTTTGACATCCCATCTATAAATCACCTCCCACCTTCCCACTACTTGGCATTTGACCCAGTTATTGTAAAGTACGTTGAGTCTCCAGGATGTTGTCCTACATGTAGGGTGCTTTATAAATGTTGTTGTTGATGTTATAAGAAAATAGCTTCATTGTTCATAATAAACAAGCTGGAATGCAAATTATTACCATTCAACAGCCTGACCTAAGTAACCAATATGAGTAGGCATTAATTACTGATGAATTTAATTCAGTAAAGTAGGTGTTACAAGAAAACATTTTGCCAATGTAAGCACTGTATTGAAAGCTTTATACTAAAACTTTGCCTCAATTCTGTCCATTCTTTGTGTATTCTTACTCCTTTTTTTGTTTTACTTTCTGCTCTTTGCTTCAGTCTCCTTTTGGCTCCAACCCTGAGGTATGTACAATTCCATCACTACCACCTACACTAATATTTACAGAAAGGAAAAACTTCAGTTACCTCCAGCAAGAAAGCTGAGCAAAGGAGATATGGAAAACTCAGTCACAGATTATAGCAGAGACTCAACATACAGCCACTGAACACGGGTTATTCTATGAGTGAGGAGACCAGAGAATTCATGAGGAACACATTTGTGAGTGAGATAATCGGGTCCCCTTCTGATGGGAAAGAACCTGAGTCAGTGGTTTGTGGTTCGCGTTGGGTTTACAGTGCAAGTTTTGTAAAAAAAATTGAAAAACTAACTTTTGGGAGTGTAATTTATTTTAGTGTGATTAAATGAAGGTAATATAACACTTAATAACTATGTGAAATAGTTGTTCACTTCGCTCCGGAAGTGTTTGACTAACATACTGGAATGCCCTTAACAGCGGTGTAGATACAAGCTTGAAGTACTTCTACCAAACATTCCTTTTATTTGTCATCAAGCAACTTTAAGCCTTTTAGGGCCCAGGATTGATAATTGTTTTTTATAAAAAGTACATTACAGTCCTAGCTTCTGAGATTTGAGGAAGATTATCTGATTCAGAAACAGGAGTGGGGAGAATAAATTTCTTACTGATCCATAAAGAGAGACTATAGGATAATTGATGTATGGCATATGTGTATGAGAACTTAAAATGCCCAGTGAGATACAGAAATAGAAATAACCCATTACAAAATATTACATAGAGCATATTATGGATTGTTCAATCGGTTTGTTGTGGGGAGAGGATGGAGGGAATGAATATATAAGTCGATTTATGCTAAAGAAACATAAATTACACAAGTGAACATACTAATTCACAGTTTACTCTTGTGGTAACGTACCAATTCATTCAGAATTTGTGGGGTACATTCGCTGTACCAGTTGTAACTGTCTACAAGAAAAGTTTATGTTTTAGAATTCAAAGCAAAATTCCAAAGAACACAGTACATTAAAAGCAATCAAAAAATCCTACCAATTTCATTAATTGAGAAGTCACGTCCCATATCTGCAGTCAGCGCTGTAACAATTTGCTGTTTTGATCAAACTGTTATTGCTTTTACTATTCAGCGTTCTGTATATGACGTGGTCTTGTCATTTTGCTTGATGTTTATTTTTACACTATACAATCAATTACCAGATTTATTCAAATAAATTTGGTCTCAATAGCAATATAGCCCAGCATCCTATTTTACCTCTTTTATTGTTGCCTCACCCAATGAGTGAGCAATGAGTCAACTCATATTGTTAGGTCTCTTTCAGCTTCCCTCTTAGCACATTCTACCCAACCCACATTGTCTATGTCGACTGTTTTTACTTCCTATCTCTTCTATCTATCTGTGACCCTAACAGCTATAGAAATCTGTGCAATAGTGAATTTAAGAGCGGAGGACAAATGATAATGAAACCCCAAATGCTGATCTCTAACATGTATTGTCCTTAGGTTAATTTTTTAGATCACTGCAAAGGCCAAAGAATTGTCCTGACCACTATCTTGTCTGTTACATAACTGTATCCTCCTGCTGAGGAATAATTTTTGTCTGATGTACAGTCCTCCATCACGTCTCCAACTTCATGTTTGACATAACCATTTAGAATTTGATCAAAGCATTTTTTTAAAAAAAAGTACAATCTTTATAAGAAAACAATAATGGATTTGACGGGTCTCTTTTTTATTGTACACTTGCAGCAGAAGACACCGTCCGAGTCCTACATTGGAAGAGAGAAACGGTCCAACTCACAATCGTACATTGGTCGGCCCATTCAACTGGATAAGATTTTACTTTCCAAGGTTAAAGTGCCTCACACATTTGTAATTCATTCCTACACTCGTCCCACTGTTTGCCAGTACTGTAAGAAGCTTCTGAAAGGGCTTTTTAGACAGGGTTTGCAGTGCAAAGGTGAGTATTGTAATCACTATGCATGCACAGTTGCTTTAAATAATAAAAAAGCGATGGTAAACGTTTCCCTGAAAGTTAATGAAGTTATATACTTTTATTAGAATTTACTTACTTGATGTAACACTGCAGCTTTCCTGAGTATGAACACATCACTTCAACTTAATTCCCGTTGGTTTTACCAGAAAAATTACTTTAGTTGTTAGAATATTAAACAGCAGCAGATACAGTTTTAACTCTGGAACTGTGTTTTAGAGCCCACTGAGTCCTCCAAAATTCTGAACATGTCTAAAACATTCCATTGAACTTAAACATTAACAAAACTATTTTCAAAACATTATTTACCATATAACCACCTTGCTTTTCCCTGTTGCAGCCCGATTTGTGACTTGCCTTTAAAACACACCAGGAATGATTAATGTGTCTCTCTTTTAAAACATGAAAAGTAAACATTGTTTATGGTGAACTAACTGAGGCAGAATCTGTAATCTATGGTTTGTGATACATCTGCAGATGTCACATGTACTAAACAGACTGAGTGAGTGAGTGAGAAATTGTCAAACACATTTAACCATTTTAATGCATGATTTTTCAGATGGTAAATCTGTTTTCAATCCTACACCCCCCCCATCTAATTCCTTTCTTATGGTATTTATTTATTGAAATGTATTTTATTCCTTTTTGTAAGTTGTTTCTCCTCATTTCCCAGCTGATAAAACTGCTTTCACGTGAATTCTGCTTTTGAGGGAGCTGCTATGAGGAAATCTAGTTCTACACTCTTAGTTAACTCCATCTGGAGTTTTTTAAAAAAAAACTCATCCCTCCTCTATTGGGGGAAACACCTCAATGTCTCCAACGCCTGAGGATGGGGACTTGCTGCACATCATGAGCTAGCTGACAAGCACGTGTATCAGTTAGCTATCTATAAGTGCAGGGTACTTCCTCTTTAAACTTAATATTTAACTTAAACATTCATTGAAATTAAATGGTGCAGGTTTGATTTTCAATTTTAAAAATTGGAATGTACCCATACTGATTGGAGAAATTAATATTCTACAAGTGTCATCCTGCAACTGTTACAAACTAATGTTTTTGATTTTTTTTGTTAGATTGTAAATTCAACTGTCATAAGCGTTGTGCTCCTAAAGTGCCAAACAACTGTCTTGGTGAAGTGGCTATCAATGGAGGCAAGTTGGAATGAGGAATTTTTAATATTTGTTTTATTCTGAATACAGAGATTTTTTCATAGAATAATGCAGGTGGACCATTGAATATTGTGCATCAGTTTAACTGTACAACAAATGCTTGATAAGTGGAAGAGAATGCAAGATGTCTCCATTTGTAACTAAGATGTTAAGAATTGTCACAATTTACAATTCCAACAGAATGATAATACAAACAGACAGAACTAACCAATAAAACAAATGGATTTCAATCTCCAATTAACAAATGTGAAGACAATCATTCAATTCAATACATCAAGTGGAGATTATTTCAAAATCAGTTCAAATTAAACCTTGAATAAAACATGGAACTGAAACGTATGGTAGTAATTTGACCTGAAATACAAACATGGAAGGAGGCTCTTTGGCTGTCTTTGTGACGTGCATTTTTATTTATATAAAGGCAAAATACAACCTGGATATGCTCAACTTTAGCAGTGCTTGGATATTCTGTGTAATCATAGTATTTCCATCCATTTGCAAAATTGGGATTTATTTTGCAACGTTTTTTTGTAGATTTGCTTAGTCCTGGTGCTGAGTCTGATGTGGTCATGGAAGAAGGAAGCGACGACAACGACAGTGAAAGAAACAGCACTCTTGTTGATGACATGGATGATTCAATGACTCATGACCCATCAATCCCAGGGAGTCACAGTGACAATGGGGACATGCAGGACCCTGATCATGACCATGAACACGATGAGGCAAATCGAATGATAAGGTTGGTCTGCTGCACTCCAACTGATGGGACTGGATCAATAAAGGATTTCAGGGCAGTGAACACGCATGAGTTCTATTGAGGCCTTACAACATTTCTAAACGTTTCTCATTCATAAAAATTATTCATGCCACAAAAAAGGACTGTGTATGAGGTGCATAACAACAACAACATTTATATAGCACTCCTCATTCAGGGTAGTGTCCCAGACTATAATCCACTTTGTTCATTTTTTTCCAACACACTGGTGTGTCACATCTCAGCTAGGCATTTCCATAAACTGTTGTATTTAAGACCAGACAAACTGCTTTCTGTCCTGTGTCTCAATTAGCACAGTTCTTTCCAATCTATCAGCAGGAACTGAGAGATATAGCCTAGAAACTATTCTTCAGAAGAAATTCAAACACCCACTTCTAAGTGTTCCATACTTAATAGCTCCATTCTTTTAATAATTATGTACTCTGCAGGTGGGTGATCTCTGTGCTAGTGAATGGAACACTTTCTTGCTTTTTTCCCTTATTTCCAGTATCAAACACTCTCTGATCACGTTTGGTACGAGGCAGATGAAGTATAAAGCTCCCTCTGCTCAAGCACTAAGACAACATAACTACCAGAGCCTCACCTGCTGCACCATTCCCACAGCAGCCATTGTCTGTGACTGCAGCCTTGGTAGAATTAACAGCAGTTTAGCGCTTTGGGCACAAACTCATTAAGAACCTTGTTCAGATCCTCTCTTCTCATACTCATCTCTGGCCCAACAGGCAGCAGAGAGATACTCATCTCATTAGTCTGCACTGGATTAAACTTCAGGCCCAGACATGAAAGGATGAGGTGATTAACACACCATAGCATCCACCTTGGTTCAGCACCTCCTGATGTTTCACGCAGCCTCATGCGGTGTTCCTCAGGACTCTGCCCTCAATCACCTTCTCTTCAACCTTGGTGATGTCATCCGCAGACATGGGGTCAACTTCCACATGTACGCAGAGGACACCCAACTCTATCTCTCTGCCTCCACACTTGATTCCATGAGAACTGCTGTCCTGATAGAATGTCTGTTAGACATCAAGTCCTGGATGAGAGCCAACTTTCTGCTGCTGAATGTCAGCAAGACCGAGGCCCTTCTGATTGGCTTGCGCCATCGCCTCCACACCTCAGGCACTGGCAGCATCAGCATTCAAGGATGCACACTCCACCTCACCAAGCCAAACAGGAACCTGGGTGTCTTGTTCGACCCTCAACTGTCCTTTCTCCCCGATATCCGTGCCATGAACCGCTCTGCCTTCCCCTACCTGTGCAACATTGCTTGACTCCGCCAATGCCTCACCCCTCAGGCTGCTGAAACCCTCATACACAAATTAGTCACTTCAAGGCTCGACTACGAAAATTCCTTCCTTGTTGGCCTCCCCAACTTTTCCCTCCACAATTTGCAGATCATCCAGAACTCTGCAGCTCGTGTCCTCTCCCACACAAGGCTCCGTGACCCCATTACCCCCACTCTCGCCCTGCTCCCCATCCCTCAGATGTTAGAATTAAAAATCCTCATCCTCACTTTCATGGCCCTCCACGGCCTCCCCCCCCCCCCCCCCACCACCTCTCTGACCTGCTAACCCCCTATCAACCTGTCCATTCCCTCAATTCAGTAGGCTCCAGTGTGCCTGCTCTAGGTCTCCCGCCCTGCCCGCCCTACCATCAGTGGCCAGGCTTTCAGCTTCTCTGCCCCCACCCTTTGGAACTCCATCCCACAATCCCTTCACCTTGCTCCCACCCTTGCCTCCTTTTCGACTGTGCCTTCAGCTGCCATCCTACCTCTCTGCCTCCTCATCCCAATCCCCCCACCCCCCCATTCTCAGGTCCTGATCCCTGACTGTTCAGCTGCTGGACTCTCAGAAATATTGGTTCTGCAGTGGGTTTAGAATTTTCAGTTATCAATCAGAACCAGAAAAAAAAAAGCATCCGATTTGGATGTTCGTCAGGTGTTATTTTATTGTAATGTTATTTAAGTTCCAGTTGTATTATCAGTCTCCTAATAATATTCAAAACAGTCTGCTCTAAATTCCCAGATTGTGCAAAACACAATCCAAGAAATTGAACCACAGGGGAGGGAATGTTCTTCTCTCCTGTCCTATTTATACTGCGGTTTACAAATTGCACAGCTCCTGAATCCATCCCGAAGGGTATGACTCGCACTGTCTGAAATCCCCCTCGTCTCTCACTCCATCATATTTATACCACAGGATTGGCGTTAAATTGCTGCCAAAATCACAGTGACTCAGATGAACAACATGCAATCAATATAAATCCAGCATATAGGATAACATACAGGATAACCACTTTAAGTAATCTTTTGACCATAGAATTAAAAATGTGTAGAAAGGCTCATGGAACTTACTCATTCCAACATTTTATGTTAATTGCATAGTCAGAGCTTCTGCCCAACCACTTCTATGAACCTTAAATTTACGAATTTAATGGTCCCAGGACACGTGGTATATGTTTTGTAGAATATTGATCATGTGTCCATTTTCTTCATAATTTGCAACAACTATACTCTTATCGAATATTCCTCAACTAGTTTAAATTCACTGAAATATCAATGACAAAGGTCAAAACAAATCCATTGTGCATTTTTGAACGCTGTCTCAACTCCACAAATGAATATCTTTTTGCCCCACAACAAACATTTCAAAATTGTAAACCATCTAAACTATTTGACGTTTGCATTTATTTTTCAAGCCCTTCTGCAAGTAATAACATTCCTTTGATGAGAGTCGTACAGTCTGTTAAACATACAAAAAGGAGAAGTAGCACTGTACTAAAGGAGGGATGGATGGTTCACTTTACGAGCAAAGACACACTGGTAAGAACAATATTATAAAACTTGTCAGACCCTGGGTAATGAGCTTCCGTGTCTAACGCCAAACTATGATTAGTAGAAACCCTGTGCTGTGTGCGATTTACTGTATTTTATTAATTCTGGATTACCTTCTGCACTGATTAAAATGGATTTCCAATGCTGATCATTTTTTAAATCAAAGAATTTTAAGTGCACTTTTTTTCATAATTTCTTCTCACAATTCTGTATTTATAAAATTATGATAAAGAGTTGCTGGTTGTTTTCCTTTCAACGTGAAACCTGAAGCTGGTTGCAGAGAGAGGAAAGCAAATGTCATTGTACATAAAAGGACAAAGGTTTACAGTGCAAAAGCATTACATTAACTAAGAGTAACAGTAGAATTTTGAACAATGCACTGGCACCCATTTATTGGGGAAAAACAACCTAATTTACTTATGGGATTGAATGAAAACAAACTATTACAGTGCAATTGCCTCTAAAAATTATTAAAGTGATAAGAATATGAATATCAACTATTATGTTCACTGAGTAGAATCAGCATTACATGTACACATGGTTATTAGTTTGAACAACACATGGTTATGAATCTCCATGTGGTTATTATAACTCAGAATGCACACCTACAGACTAGTTGGGCCAAATGGCCTGTTTTTCCTAAAAAAAAGGGCCACAGGAATTAAACCTGCATTAATCTACTTAATGCACTTACAGTTCCAGAAGATGGTGCTCGAGTGCTGCTCTTTCTATCCAAGGTGTGCTTTCAGCCTATTAATGCATTTTTAAAACTTTCTTTCCTTCTGTTTGGATGCATCAAGCAGATGTGCAGCAATATTGTTATGCATCTATATCTGATTAATTTCACTGTATATTGCATTTGAAATGGAGACAGATCAATTCTTAATACTACATAGTCACAAGCCCCCACCCAACAAACACACACACTCTTTGCAAGAACAGCATAATTGTGCAAATCAAAATATATTATGAAATCATTTTTTTACAAAACCAACATGACTGTGATACTTTACACTTGTTTACTAACACCTATTAGTACAATCCTTGAAATGTAATTAGCACATAGAACACTATTTCTTTATCTTCAGAACATGACACCTTGTAGACTTACTCCCAGCCAATAATAAGATGTTTTCAAGTTATATTATAATTAAACTGTGTGTATGATGATTAACAACTCACAATGAAGCACACATTGCAGAGTGAAAGAGAGAGGTTTACAATCCAATTACTTTTTTTTTAAAAAAACTTAAAAGATTTTGGTAAGGGAAAATGCTATTCATCAAGAAACAGGGAAGGAGAGTACGACATTATTTGCTTTTATTATGCAACCCTCCAGTACTGTGTAGACCGATTTACATCAGTCTTCAGCATTCATCTGTCTCCTGGGATATAGTATAATATCGATAAAACTTTTTTGGGCACTTAGTATAAAAACCTCCTGCACTACGGTATAAACACCTCTGCTGTAACACTGACGCTTTTTAGCACATGAGGCTTTTATTGCCTAATACTAGTGTATAAATGGTGCTATCACTTAAAACTACTTCTCACTGTTCTCTTAAGAATTGTCCAACATTGCAATGTGTTTTTATTCTGTAGAGAAAAAGGCACTATTGGAGACTAGACAGCAAGTGCATTACCCTCTTTCAAAATGATACCGGAAGCAAATATTACAAGGTAAAAGATTCCTTATCTGACATTAGCAAATAATATAAAATTATGCATGCTGAACATTACTGAAGTTGAAATCAGAATTGAGGTTCTTATTCCAAAGGATTATTTGAAGTAACTGAATGTTACAGTGATACATATTCAGTCTACACCATTTTGCATTTTCTACCCATATTCCACTTGGAGCAAATTATTAGACTTGCCTGTTCTCAATGAGGAATATAGGTGATTTTTACTTGAGGTGATTTTCACAATTGCTGACTCCTTCACAGTACAATAGAAGACATCCTTGCTCAGACTTTTGATATTTTAAACAGGGAAAAATGGTTCATTATATTTGGAAATTTATATTATCAAAAGAACAAGGACTAAACAGATTCAGAATATGGGCTCCACTGTGATACTATACATTATAAACTATTGAATGATCTGCCAACTCACATCTAGATAAGATTTCAGGATGGAAACATTAAATGCATTAAAAACATGACTGATACTGTTGTCTAATGTGGCTGCTTCTTATTCCCCAAAATCTACCTTTGATTTCAAATGAAGTTGTATTGTTGTCATTCAGAACTCTGCAGCTCGTGTACTGTCCCACACCAGGCTTCGCGACCACATCACTCCCACCCTCGCTCAGCTCCACTGGCTCCCCATCCCCCAGAGAATCGATTTCAAATTCCTCATCCTCACCTAGAAGGCCACTCACGGTCTTGCTCCCTCCTACCTCTACCACCTACTATCCCCTTACTTACCTGCCCTTAACCTCCGTTCCTCTGGCTCCAGTCTGCTCCACATCCCCTGTCCTAACCGCCTTACCATCGGTGGCCGGGCTTTCAGCCTCTCAGCCCCTAAGCTCTGGAACTCCATCCCCCAGTACCGTCGCCTTGCTTCCTCCCTTTCCTCCTTCAAGGCTGGTCTCAAGACCTTTCTCTTCAACCGTGCCTTCAGCTCCCCTCTCGACTCTCTACCCCCTCCTCGCTCCCTCCCTTCCCTCCCCTCACCCTGCCCATTTCCCCCCCTGCTCGGGTCCCGACCCAACTGTCCAGCTCCTTGGGACATCCTCCTGACGTGAAAGGCGCTCTATAAATGCAATCTTGTTGTTGTTTTGTATCTCCTGTATTTCGAGAGCTTCTTTAACAGTCTGTAATTTTTAATTACAGGAAATTCCACTATCTGAAATTTTGTCCATGGAACCTGCAAAAAACTTTAGTTTACTGCCTACTGGAGCCACCGCTCATTGCTTTGAAATTACCACTGCAAGTGTGGTCTATTTTGTTGGTGAAAATTTGACAAATTACTTGAGTATACCAACAAATAACAGCGTGTTGTCCAGTGGTACTGGGCTGGATGTTGCCCGGATGTGGGAGATGGCAATCCAGCATGCCTTGATGCCAGTCATTCCAAAGGGCACATCGACAGGATCAGTACACAGTCACCATAGTAAGCCAGCTTTGGAAAACAGTTTTGGACACTCAGTGGAACACTTCTATTTCTTCCTGCGTTTCAACAGTATCTTTATGTGAAGATTTTTTTGGTCAATTTATTTAGTTTCAATGGTTATTAATCTAGATGTACAATATGTTTACACACACACACACCATAATCATTGGAGGCTAGAATACTAGTGAACTTGGGTAATCCATGTCGACTATAATAACTTATGACACCATCAGATTGTTGCTTGTGGATCTAGTGAAAAAATTAAACTATTTTTCACCCACCTCAATTTGAAAGTAGTATTAAAGACTATTCTTTCCATTGAAAACTCTAAACAGGAATTCTGATAAAGTGATATAATCTATATCTAGATCACTGTACAAAGTGCCCATGTATAGATTAGTATCATACAACACACACCAGCCAAATCCTTCCAATATATAAATAGCTTAAAGTAATAAACAACATGAATAATTGCCATATAGTACAAAATGTTTCAGCTCAATGAACCCAGTTTTATTTTCTTTATCAGGAGATGTGTCCATCAGTATCTCAGTGTCCAATTGCCAGATTGAGGAGAATGTGGTGAGTTTTATTTGCAGAAGAGAAAAGCACTTCATGTTCACAAAGTGTAATGAAAATCCTTGTTTTCAGCCCACTTGAGCCATTTTAAATCACAGACGCTCTTAGAGAGTTAATCTATTTTTTTTTCTGCACTGCCTGTTTGTGTCTGGTCTGAGTGGCCAACTGGGTCTTCCAGAATTCTGCAAATGGATATCTATGGCTGATCTGAAAAATAACCACCCGATTCAATACTAGCTGATTATTTTCTCTTCAAAATTCATACTCACTGCCTCTGTCTTAACCTTATCCTGCTTGTGTCTCTGTGGACCAACCAATTCTGTACAATATCAGGTCATGCAAAGAAGTTGAAGAAAATATTACAGTAATAAAGCTGCTCAATTTCAGGCTAGCTTCATTACTGTACTAGTAAACCCAGACGACTAAAAATACTGAAAACAATTTGAGCTACATTCAGCATTCCAAAAACATTATCTTGTCCAATCATTACTTGTGTTCCTTCCTCTTCTTTCCCTGTGTGTTATTTTGTTTATTTTTAACTTTGCTCCTATTTTCTATTTGTCCAATAGATTTTTACCCCAATGATTTATCATTATAATATATGTTTACCTTTCCTGTTCTCCAGCTAACTGTCCATTTTGCAACCATTAATCTTGAAAAGATTAATGACTGACTGGGTTGCAACACAGATGTTTCTTTAGAACAATCTTTAAAGCAATTTTTGTATCTATAATAAAAACTGGGAGCTGCAAAAGTACAAACATATTAGTGTGTCCAAGATCTAACACTGCACAGGGATGTAATTATCTTCATAAAACTCTAATGGATAAAGATTTTATCAGCTGCAGTTTTATATATTGTGCTGAATTTTGAAAATCCATGGAATGCACAAATCTATCACTGTAGTAGGTGTTTCTGTGAGAAATTAACAATTATAAGTACCTCTCGCTCACTGGAGGAAAATCAAGAGAAACATTATAGGGTATACCTTTGGAATGTCTTAAATAAGGGAGGAATTAGAAGAAATTGTAAGATCACAATAGTGCATGTTATTCCAGTGCTGGGCTTTTATACCATCCCACTTTACATGTCTTGTTGTTGAAGCTCCCTTGCAAGCAATACAATTTGAAAAGTTTGTTAAATTGTATCAGAAGGTGTCAAAGTACAGTGATATTTCCATCTTCCAACAGGATATCAGTACAATATATCAAATATTTCCAGATGAAGTCCTGGGATCGGGACAGTTCGGAATAGTCTATGGAGGTAACACAACTTAAAATTTAGCAATTACCAATTAGAACTAAACGGTACAAGTCAATTAAGATTAATCTATTATATGCGCTTGTATAATTATCGGTAATGGAGTTGTTAAATAACTTTCTCAAAAATGTACGCTGGAGTTATGCTGCCTGGAGTGAAGATGAGCTTACATTGCCTGATTCACTTTTATTTCAGATCAGAAAAAAACAAATGTAAATGGAAAGTAAATGGCTAAAATTAGAAAACCAGAAAAGATAAGATAAACCTGCAATGTTCCACTTAAAATCATAAGCAAGTATTATTCAATCTGAAAAGCAGCTTGAAAAATTGTAATAAAGAGAAGATACATTCTGTTCAACATATTTTCCCCATAACTATGAAATAAAATATCCTTGTAATATATTTTACCTATAGTAATATAATTCCTTCGCCTTCTGGGACTCATCTGTGCCACTCTGGAGCCATATGCTACCTTTAGAAGCTGGGTAGATCCCAAAGCAGCTCCACTTCCTTCATCAGGAACAGTAATTTTTGGATCATGGGTGCTAATCTGGAACTATCTGCCCTTAGGGAAGCAAAATCTCCAAGTTGACATTCAATGCATACTCACTGGTCATGTGCTTTCCAAGGGTTGGTGAGGTCCCAATTACCTCCCAGTGAGTCTAAATTGATTGCTCTTAGTAAACTGAATGGAGCTGATCTGAGACACGCTTAGTTCCTGTCAGGCACATACCCTGGAGCAGTCTAGCAGTTGAGAATGCAAATCTCTGAGATATGCTAAACATAAAGATTCCTGACTGCAGTAAGAGATGCAAATGTGCATGTATTTTTATGTTCCATTGTTAACGCAAGTACTTTAATGGAAATCATTCCCCAGAATTTTGTTTCCCCCTTCAACATTAAATGTTTAGGAATTGGTAACATTAATACACACACCACACTCACACACTGTTTCCTGTCTGTCATCAGTGGCAGTAGAAAGCAAAGCAAGCAAGATGAAATCTAGAGATAATTCCATCCTCCTCAAATGCTGTAACTGACTGAAATATAAAAAGAGCTGGGATGAATAGTTAGTTACGGTTGAGACTGAAGACTCGAAGGATAAATGAGACAGGGAGATTACTCTGTGGATCAGTGTAGTGCATATGCTGTTCTGAGCCATAAATAGTGTCGGTGCAAGACTGCTGGTCAGGATTGAATATTGTACATTGTAATATCAAGATCGATATGCTGGAGTTCGCTCAATTATCTGTGATAGAATCAAGTAGAAATTTCATAAGGCTTTACTTGTTGACCTCCCTCAGAAGAGTACAAAAGTTAGTTAAAACTCACAATGCACTATCTTGTATAGGCTCTTTTGTCAGAATCAAACAATATTTCTCATTCCTTATTTATGTCCATTATGATTTGATTTCCTTTTTAGTGAGATGTTAGGGATTCCCAAATTAAACATTGGATCACTCGTCGGAGATTGTGTCTGATGCCAGTCACAGCCATTTGATGTTAATCCCCTCAAAGCAGTTACTATTTTCATAGAATTCCTACCATAACACAGTAACAGCTACAATTAAATGTTAATGCTGGCTTACGCTGGGTTTCTGCACATGATAAATTCAACATGGGAACATTGTTGAAAGCACTATTTGGGTTTGAAAATACGCCAGTGTTTGCTTGACAGTCTTCATTCAGCTTTGCTGGTTTGTCAATTTTGCTGGCTGTGAATTTCACAATCTAATATTTGCAGATGGAGTTGTAAATAATGCCAAAAATCCTGTTTGCAAATGGAACATTTTTGATCCCACTTTCTCAGCAGTACTCGAAAAAAATATGCTTCGGTATAATATGTAAAGTTTGCCACACCTCTACACATGTGTGTTTGAGGTGGTGTTGGGCGGAATGGGAACCATTTTTTGTTACAATTTTTCCACTGCGATTTTTTGAACTTTTTCCAGTCTTATTGAGTCCCTCATCTCATCCCATCTCATTTTCTTGTGTCTCTTCCCATACTTTTTCTACTTGCTCTTGGTTTCAAAAGTTATTTTATAGTGTTTAAATAATTTCATGAGTTAATGAGTCAAAGATTTCTGTATGTACCATGGTTTCAATCTATCTGCACGTTTTTTAGGCAAACATCGTAAGACAGGCAGAGACGTAGCCATCAAAGTAATTGATAAACTACGATTTCCTACAAAGCAAGAGAGCCAACTTCGCAATGAAGTTGCCATTTTACAGGTAAGGGAGAGAAGTTAGTACTCTGGCACAACATGTGTAATAATTTGGGTAAGGGACTGGGTGGCATAGTGGCTTAGGTTAGCATCTTTTACCTTTGAGAACATGTTTTAAGCATTGCCAGTGCTAGCTGTAAAATGTGTTTGAACCGTTTTAAGTACTTCATGGTGAATACAGGGACAAAATATTAAGGCACACACAATGTCAGTGTAAATTAATCATTTACCATCTTGTGTCATATTGAACAAGGGTGAGAAATGGAAAAAAAATATTTACACTAGAATAGCAAGGAGTCAGAAGTTAGGCTGAGACATGCAAGAGTAGATGTACAAGTAGTAAAGATATTCCTTGGTTTAATATTATCACCTCCTTGGCATGGGAAGGAGCTGACCTCACACCAAAGGTCCTCACGCCTGCCCCGCCCCGTTAAGAATTTGCAGAGTTTGCTGAGAAAACAACACTTTCTCCTCCAGTTTGCATTGAAATTCTACAGCCCACTGCTGGATTAACAACCTTGGATAGAATTGAAAGCTTTAATTGTTTCTTTTCAGTACTTGACTGGTGTCAAAATGAGTTAATTGAAGTTTTGCCTCCTCATTGTTTAAAATTTATGATATTAGGCCATTCTGGAATGCAGAGTTTTGGGTAGAGATGCGATGGTATAAATGATTCAATGTAATAGACTTTACTGCGTCTGTAACACCTGGAGGAAGTTAACCCCATATAAAGTATGTTCCAAGTAAAATGTTCTTTCTGTATGAAAATCAAATCTTTTGCTGCAGATGCAATGTCTTACTTGGATAAGAATTTATTTCCCTAGAACCTGCATCACCCTGGTGTAGTGAATTTGGAATGCATGTTTGAGACTCCAGAAAGGGTGTTTGTTGTCATGGAAAAGCTCCATGGAGACATGCTGGAGATGATCCTGTCGAGTGAGAAAGGACGACTGCCAGAACGGATAACAAAGTTTCTTATTACACAGGTATGTGACTATTTCTGGGGTCAGTCAATGGAAAATGAAACAAAAATGAGTTCAGAATACCGATTGCTATATATTCATTGCAATTTGTTTATAATAATAATCCTTGCATTTGAATATAGTGTCTCATTTTGAAACATTTCAGAGTTTACTTTGAAGTTTACTATTTGTAAGTGAATATGGCAGCCAATTTGCACATGACAATGTACAACAAACAGCCATGGCCTTTCTTTTAAAAATAAATCTGGGTGATTGTTGGCCAGGAAAATGGGAGAAACTCCTTTCTCTTTTCAAATCATGCCATAGGATCTTTAAATATCTACAAAAACAGACAGGCGAAACCTCAGATTAACATCTTATTCCAAAGCATGGCACCTTCAACAATACAGCACTGGTACAGACCGCACTGACACTCCAATCCAATGTGTTCAAAGCTTATAGAGGAGTTTACACTGCTGAGCCAGTGCACAGATTATCTTAGCCAACAAATGCCAGATAACATTTGTTGGTCAAACGTTTGTTGGACATTGCTGTGGGAAAATTGGTTGTCGCATTTGTTTAGTTATACACAGTCACTGCACTTCATAATAAAATCTTTTGAAGCCTTTTGAGATGTCAACAATTTGATAAGGCACTACTATATCAAATGCAAGGATGATTATTGCAGTTTGGATTTACAGTGTGTAGGACTAATTTGTAATCTTGAGTTTTCAGGGTTGACTGAGGACTAGTTAAGTGCTTCAGTCATTTCTGTATTGCAGATCTATTTACTCGTTCCCCCATAATGCTGAGATCAATTAACTTTGCCCATCACATATGACCATTCTGAGAGTCCAGGGAAATGTATTGGTTAAAGCAAAACTTTGTTGTGTTTTAAATAACTGAACCAAGTTGCTCATAAACCAAAGGGTAATAATAATAATCCTTGCATTTGATATAGCGCTTTTCACGTCTTCTAGACGTCTCAAAGCGCTTCACAGAATATACCGTAAAGTGAATTGACTGTATATTTGTTGGCGAAATGTGGCAGCCAATTGCATACAGCAGTGTCCCAAAAACAGTTGTGGATTGAGTAACCAAATTATTATTCTTTTTTTTTCTTGAGGGATTATTATCAGGCATGTGGAGTAAGGAAACTTGCCCAAGGTTTCACCCTGCTGGGAATTGAACCCAGGTCTCTCGCTTGCAAGGCGAGTGCTCTAATCGAAAGAAAAAGTCATTTAAACGAGATGGAAGGAAAAAATGAGAACCATTAAAGATTTAAAATCAGTCTGTTCCAAAAGTTTATATTGAATTTACAGCAAATAGGCTTTGTTGCATGATACTTTAGTAATTCAATATTTTTCAAACAGATTCTGGTTGCTTTGCGACACCTCCACTTTAAGAACATAGTTCACTGTGACCTGAAACCAGAGAATGTGTTGCTGGCATCGGCTGATCCCTTACCACAGGTGAGACGCGCGTTCAAAGAAAGAGCACTTAACAGTGATGGAGTCTGATTTGGAGCCAGAATGGGGGGAGGGGGAGAGGTAACTGTAAGCATGGTTGAAACGGAAGGTTTTCAGGCGGGATTTGAAAAAGGGGAGAGGGGACAAGATGGAGGGAATGAGGGAGAGTGTTCCACAGTTTTGGGGCATGGTGGCTGAAAGCATGACCTCCAATGGTAGAGTAGAGTGTGCGAGGGACAAGTGCCAGTCGAGCGGAGGTGCCGGGTGGTGGATTGGGGAGTGAGGAGGTCGGAGAGGTAAGGAGGTGCTAGGGAGTGAATAGATTTGAACATGAGTGTGAGGATCTTGAAGTGGATCCGTTGGGTGATGGGGAGCCAGTGGAGCCTGGCCAGCACTGGTGAGATGTGGGTACGAAGTTTGGTCTGGGTAAGTATGTGGGCAGCAGAGTTCTGAATGAGCTGGATTTTTTGAATAGTGGAGCTGGCGAGACCGGCAAGGAGTGCATTTCAGTAATCGAGACGGGAGGTGACAAATGCATGCACGAGGGTTTCGGCTGCATTTCGGGTAAAGTACGGTTAGAGGCGGGCAATGTGGTGGAGGAAGGTTTTCTGGTCAGGGACTGGATGTGGGGGAGGAAGGACAGCTGGGGGTAGAACCGGACACTTAGATTGAGTACTGGTTCAGTGAGTCTTGAGGGAGAGCCCAGGGAGGTTGAGGAGTTTAGATCTGCGGGTATGAAGAGTGTGGCTTCCATCTTGTCCATATTCAGCTGCAGGAAGTTTGCACTCCTTTAATACTTATTTTAATTGTTTTTCAACTATAGGTTAAACTTTGTGACTTTGGATTTGCGCGAATAATTGGCGAGAAATCCTTCCGCCGATCTGTTGTGGGCACACCAGCGTACCTGGCGCCAGAAGTGCTTCGGAACAAAGGTTACAACCGATCTCTAGACATGTGGTCTGTTGGGGTTATTGTCTATGTTAGTCTCAGTGGCACCTTTCCATTTAATGAAGATGAAGACATTCACGATCAAATTCAGAACGCAGCTTTTATGTACCCACCAAATCCCTGGAAGGAGACCTCCCATGAAGGTAATTGGGATGAAAAAGATGTAAAACTTTTGAAAAAAATGAATCGGTTAAACAGAAAGTAGGGATGTTTGTTTCTCCTATTACTGGCTTTAGCGAGCAGTGTGTGGTGTAGCTGGGCAAGAGTGCCCCGGAGCCCTCATGGCACAAACTTTCATTGCTTTTTAAATTAAGGCTGTAGAGTTCGCTTTTAAATTTAGTTTGTGAAATTACAAATGAGCTTGCAAAGTCTGAAAGTACAGATATCAGCCTGACTAAGTTGGTAGCATCTTCTCTGAGCCAGAAGGTTGTGAGTTCAAGCCCTATGCTGGGCTTGCCTTAGTTATCGTCTGATGACACTTCCTAAAAGCTTTCCTGAGGATGGAGAACAGTGAGAATCTTACAGGTCGAGGCCAGGAACCCCAACTCGCCTCGGAGCTGCCCTCCTAGAGCTGGTCAACAGGAATCTCTCTGAGCCATTACACTTTTCAGGAGACGGAATCACTAAAGATGTTTTGATTTTGACAAAGTGTATGCAAAATGCAAAGTATTTTTATCATTATTATACTCACAGCAAATGAAAGTCAAATCGAGAAAATTATTGGGAGAATGGGAGGAGACAGAGAACATCAGCGTAAAAAGAAATGATTATAAAATCAATGGTTAATCATTGGTCCTTAAATTTCAGGACCCAGCACTGCTCTTGGGATGGCAGGTTTGAAATCACAACATTTCCTGGGATTTTTGCCTGGCTTATGGGTTTGATGGTAGAGCATAATATATAATAATAATAATAATCCTTGCATTTGATATAGCGCTTTTCACGTCGGGAGGACGTCCCAAAGCGCTTCACAGAACACACTGTAAAGTGAATTGACTGTATATTTGTGGGCGAACGCGGCAGCCAATTGCGCACAGCAATGTCCCACAAACAGTTGTAGATTGAAAATGACCAATTTATTATTGTTTTTGGTTTTGGAGGGATTATTATTAGGCGTGTGGAGTAAGGAAACTTGCCCAAGGTTTCGCCCTGCCTGGAATTGAACTCAGGTCTCTCACTTGGAAAGCGAGTGCTCTAACCACTGAGCTACAGGACTCCACATGAGATTGAGATTGGAGAAAATGCTTAGCAGTACTGCTTTTTTTTATGTACATCACTATATACCCCAGTGTTCACTTTCCAAATAAGAAATTAAATTCAAGCCCTTGGAACCTAAACACTGTTGAATTATGGGAGAGTGGTACAGTCTACAATTATCAGTGTATTTTTGCTTCACGATAACTCAATTTGACTTGAATATACCAAGGAGCAGTCATATTGATAAACAGAATTCCTTGCATCTGCCAAAGCATTTGTAAACTGTCTTTACAGCTCCTGTCAGTTGGGTATGTGTTTTTCCCCCCTGTGTATTCATTCAGCTGAATGATGCTGATGGATAGCTTTTGGAATTCCACGTCCTGAGGTCAAATTCACAGAGCCAATACTTGACCCTTCAGATAAGCTTTATTTGCTTTGCATGTACTTGTTTTTATTCACACATCTGGCTTTAATTGATACTTGTGGATTTTTTTTAAAAAAAATACCACTTACCAACTGATGGTTCTTGTGTTCTAGCTATTGATCTCATCAATAACCTATTGCAAGTGAAAATGAGGAAGCGGTACAGCGTGGATAAGACTCTCAGTCATCCTTGGTTACAGGTGAGTTAATGATTTCTAACAGTATTTGTATGTAAGATACTCATTCAGAATTTCTTATATTTGTGATTTCTTAAACAAATCCTTTCAGATGTTTGAACCGTCCAACTGAAGAACGGTTTCAAAATCTTGACAGGAATTTTTGGTGACATTTGTGACTATGGACATTTGATTCAAAGAGTCATATTGAATAAAACGACTTGTCATAAAAGTAACCTTTCAGTAGCAAATGGCCTTTTGCAGACTTCAAGCCATGTTTCTGCATTGTACCACAAAATACAGTCAATCCACTTTACAGTATATTCTGTGAAGCACTGAGTCGGGTCAATGACTTGATAAGGTGCAAATATAGCAAATGTGATTTGTTGTTGTACCAAGATCTGCAAAATGATATCCAAAAGCATTTCAAACAATGTGATTGATTTAGCAATTTAAAGAAATCTATGGAAGAAGTTTCAATTCACAGTATTTATTTGAATAATTAAATGCAATTTATCCTTCTCAAAGATTAGTTAATTTTCAGAGGATTTTTTGCAATTTAGTTATCAATAACAGCTCTGAACCCACTGATTTAGTTGCCTTGTCAAATGGCAGAGCCAGAGGCTGGAATAAATATTTAATAGTACTGCCCTTCTGCGTCTTTCATTATAATATATCCCAGATTTGACTTTCCAAGGTGAAATTCAAGCCCTGGATATCTAAACACTACTGAATTATGGGACAACATTCAAAGCAAAACCCCTTTTTTTTAAAAAAATCCGTTATGAAATCTCGCCTCTGGGTAAGAAGCTTGTGAGTTCAAATGATGCAATAATGCAACGTCAGATTGTCAGGAGCTTTGCTGAACATTTCTCCAAGACAATATTCATTGTTTTTATTTAAGTGACAAATCCCAAGTCGTTTTAATTATCAACTGGAACAGTTTGTCCGGAAGGGTGGTAGAGGCCAGGACATTGGACTCAATAACAGGCAATTTGATTTTGTAGGGATGAAATCAGATGAGCTGAAACCAATCTTGCGATAACCCATTCATTTTACACTCAAACTGGTTTTATAAGGTTCTACTGTATTTATCTCTATTAAGTCTTAAAATTATATTGAATAAAAGAAATTGATTACTATGTACCTAAATGTTTTACAAGCATGTTAACCAAATAGTAAAATGTTGTCTAATGGCTTAATTTCCTTTGTTCCCCCAAGGACTACCAAGCATGGCTGGACTTACGGGAGCTCGAGTGTAAATTTGAAGAACGCTACATCACTCACGAGAGTGATGAGTTCCGCTGGGAACAATTTGCTGGACAGCATGGGTTGGAGTATCCAGCTCATCTGAAGGATAGAAATGCTGACTTTAGTGAGAATGCAGAGGTGGAGGAGGCAGAAATGAAAGCTCTGAGCGAGCGGGTCAGCATTCTGTGAAAGGCAGCAAAGTGTCCAGTATTCCAGGGAAATTCGAGAACAGTAGTCTTAAACTGTAGTCACAAGTTACAACTTGTGCCATAACCACAACTTAAGACAGGAGCATGGTTTCAGCTAATAAAAAAAATCCTTGCAAAGCAACGGCCATTAAATACGCAGTTTCAACCTCCCATTACAATGTGGCCCTAGTTAAAAAGTCCTTGTATCCTCGAGATTCAATTCATCAACTTCATTTATTGCATTTCAGTGCATATATTTTTGCGTGCATGTGACATGGTCTTATATAAACTGTGCTCATAGGAGGCACTGAATTTACAATTGTTGGTGAATATATTGTGTTTTTCACATTCCATGATGGTATCCAGTGTGCCTTTCCTGGCATACATTTTGATGTACTCTGCAACTCATTTGTAGTTGGAGAGCTACCCATTTGTACATTTTTGCTTCATAATGTGGTTTGAACTCTTTCAGTATTTAGCCGTATGCCAACTCTTGGAAGAGTATGACATAGCTGCTGTTCTGTGAACAATTTCAGCTTGTTTAGAACAAAAGATTTTTTTAAGTGTAGATGTAACTTTTGTGATAACCGCATTGGGAAGGTGATACTTTAAAACACCAAATTGCAAAAAGAGATGGTGGTGTGGTGGGGGGGGGGGGGGGGGGGAAGAGATAGCACACAAAGACTTATACAGAGATGGAACAATTCTATTGTTTTATGTACAAATTGAGCTGCTCTTGTAAGCCTCAATGCCTTATTTATGGTATTCCTTACAGGGTAGGTCAGAATGAAGTCTGCTACCTTCTTTCCGAGAGATTCTTGTTCTATTTTAACTCAAAATTGCTTGATACCACCTGGCCTCTGTCTAAAAAAATTTAATAAATTAAAGTGTTATCTAAGCATGTGTACCAGTTTCTGGAGGTTTGATTTGCTCTCAACGCCCTTCCAAAATTCCAAAGATATGAGAATCCTAATTTCACGATCTCCTAGAATATTGACTGCTTATTTTGGTCAAATTCTTTTGGCTTGGGCCACAGTCAGGAGGTAGAGGAGAAATAATTATGCCCATTTGAAAGTCAGCCTGAGAGAGCTTTTAAAAAATAAAAAGGCTGTCATTTTACTTGTTTTAGACTAAATTTTCTTCATCATGACTCAGTCATGGCCTTGCCTGTGCAGAGGAAGGAAATGCTCCAAGGATTATTGTCCTGGCAGCAACGGAAACACCAAAGGTTTCAAACAGTTAGTCTGGATTTAGACAACTGAAGCCCTGGGACAGCACATAAAGAAAGGTTGCGATCCCCAGTGATATTCCTAGCATTGCATTAGATGACATTATTGTAGCACAACATACAGTACAACAAAAAATCAGTTGTTCAAGATAAGAATCTACACCTGGGTGCTGGCACCCAGCAGATATGTCAAGCAAGGTTTGGCAAATGAACAGTGGCATTTAAAGCAATTGTTAACAGTAATTGTTTAATGTACAGCTCAATTATTTTAAGTTTGCATTTAGTAAATTTGAAACCTGACACCACAAAGTTGAAGCAACTGGCACTTGAGTGAACACGGTAACTTCTGCAATCGTACCAACCAAACAGATTCTGATGAAAAGCAGGTACAAAGCAGGTTAAAAGAACTTCAAGTAAATGCTGCCTTTGTTTTTTTTACATTATCTTAGAATGTCCTGCCTTTAATGTAGGCAATGATGCTTGCAGGAGTTTCACGCACTGGGAATAAAGTGGAATCAACTGCTGACATAACCTGGAATCGTACAATTTCTTATCCTGTGTTTCAGTGAACATTGAATAACGACTTCTCAATACCATATATTCAAAATTCATACTGAAACAATAATACTTTCAACTAAATACTTTTTCCTCATTTTTGTGATGTTTTAAATTGCAACTGAGTTTCCATAGTGGAGTCATAATAGCAGTCAATTTTTATACATTATTCAAGCTAGATGGGATTTGGCTGTAGCTGATTGAAATTGATATAAATTTCTTCAATTTCTGGAAGAATGCCATTAAGCTCACAATTGATTCTATGTAGTGTTGTCCTTGTTGTCATTACAGACCTTCTTCAGTCATTAGAAATCTAGATTGGTCTAGGATACAAAAAGTTTCGCTCTTCAGCAAACTCACCTGAGTCGACATTACAAATCTCTATTCTTCTTTCAGTGTTTGTTCAACCAGTTCTTAATCTTTTTCAATTGAAGTCTTCTTCTGCCATTCTGGCATCTGTAAAAAGGAGAAACATTAATATCAATGTCAACTTGTTAAGGTTTCCTTTTCTGGTTTATAAATTACACAAATCCTTTATCCAAAGGTTTATATAGATGCTTGTAAACACAGCAAAGCCAAATAACAAGTGGAAAAAGTTCTATTCAGAATCTTCAGATGCCAACAATCACTTTGACTCAAGAGAGGCATCTTACTCGGAGAATTAGTAATAAGTAGCAACTTCCTCTTTCTTCCTGGAAATGCCAAGTGTACAAGTTACAAAGCAGAGTTGAATGGATGAAATGCAATGATGGAGTCAAAGCCTGGAGTTTTGAATAGTTTATCCCTGGGGCTGGGGGATTAGTTTTTTAAGAAATGACATAGACATTTACAGCACCATTACTCTCAGGTGGATTCAGCAGTCAATGACAATTGTCAGTTTACAGAATGACAGAGACACTCAAAGAGGCATCTCAGACTCAGAATCTTTTTCAAAGAGCAATTTGTAATACCCCAAATCACATAAGGGGGGCTATTGTCATCTATACCATCCCAAATTATTCTTCTATTAAAATTATATTATTCAACATCGAAACACCTTAGGTAACTACAGTCTGTGGAAAAATTGAAGTGCAGAATTTTGTTGCTCAAAATCTTTCCAGTAAAACATTTCACTTTTCTAACCAAGTGGAAACTGCTGTTTCTGTGAATCAGCAGTGACTCACCCATGTATATTGATAATCCTTGCATTTAGTCCATGCCCGTTTGTGGGACATTCCGCAAATTAGCTGACATGTTTCGCCCACAAGCCTTCAATGGTGTGAAAGGATTATTATTGTTATTATTTGGTATAAAGTCTTTCATGTTAGGAGGACGTCCCAAAGCCTCTCAGGATTTACTGTGGTGGAGTGACTGTGTCCTTTTGGGTGAAACGTGGCAGCCAATTTCCCACAACACAGCAATGAAGTGAATGACCAATTTTATTTGGGGGGATTGTTGGCCAGGACACCAAGAGAAACTCCTATTTTCAAAGAATGCCATGGGATCATTAACATTCACCTGATCAGGCAGATGGGACCACGGTTTAATGTCTCATCCAAAAAGATAGCATCTTCAACAATCCAATACCTCCACAGCGCTACATTGGAGTGTTAGCTTAGAATACGAGTTCAAGTCCTACGATGGGGCTTGAACTCATATCATTCTGACTCAGAGGCGAGAGTGCTATCACTGAGCCAGGCTGACATGTTGCTTCAAATTTGCTTCCCTAAAACAGTAACAATTCCCTTTTAAGCGAAGATTTGAACTGCAAGTTACATGTAAATAGACTGTCAGCTAAACGGCTATTCAAATTCACAACATTTCTGTGAGTCAATGGTTGAATGGAATGGCTCCTTTTTCTGCACCTTCCAGTTAATCATACTTTCCAGTATGGTGATTATGGTGTCATAATCATCTGGATTGGAAGATTGGGAAAGTAGATCAGACGAACGGAAAACAGTACAAAGCAGTGTGAAATCTGTTTTTCCAATAATATTCAATCATGTGACCTGACTTTAAGATGAAAACGATATGGGTAAATTGTGCTGAGTTTATAGAGGTGAATTAGACTTATATTTTCCACCCTAAATATAGTCATTGTTTTCGATTATTCTGTCAACTCAGATTACAAAAGGATTTAAGGTTGCTCTCCGAGCTGTAAACCTGTGTACGTGGGGTTTCCACACAAAACATGATGGATTTATATTAGAAAAACAGCCCCAAATGAAAAACAAATGTGAGTGTTTTAGGGCACGACAAGTTCATTTTAGTGTTTATTGTTAAACAAACAGCAATTTTATTACACACACTTTTTCTTTGTTTTGTACGCGTTCTATTCAAATATTACTGCTGGCATTAACACTGGGTGTGATTTCAATGTAACTGTGCATGTGTGACAGCCAGGAAAGGAAACGGAAGGAATTCTATCCAAAATGTACTGCACCCCATGGTGTGCTCCAGCAAAATTAATGAAAATAAACATATGGTTTCTTTTTGTTCCCATTATGCTACACCATCTGATTCTGTTTTAACCTAAGACTGAAATTAAACATTTCATGAAGTTGAAATGAATGTACACACTCCATAATTTCCCTTTTCTTCTTCAACCTCTGCACTGCAGCCATTAACATAGCAATTCTTCTGCTATTCACTGATAAGGCACCAGAAGGAAGCCTACAGTTCTCCACATGAGATGATGGATATAGCTGTAGGACAATGTTACTGTGTGTCAAGAAGCCACATGGCCAGATATATCTCTGGCTGCAATCTTCAAACAAATCCTCTGCTTCTCTCTCACTTCTTAACCACTTTTCTCGAAATGCGAAATATCAGGATAACAAGGTGAAGGATAATGCTGGAAAATTCAGCATTCAAGTTCCTCTAACCAGCTATAGAATGGGTTAGATGTGAAGTAAGACTCCCTCTCCTCAAGCCTAGATTAAAAGCAGCCACTGGTTCAGCAATCTGACATTTCTCTACCAGCTACTCTTTCAGCATGGCTGAAAATTAATTACAGGCAATCTTATGCTGTGGAGTCCCAATTATTGCTAGGAATCGAGTTAACTTACTAATCTCATTTAGCATCCCAATCAGACCATTACCTGGGGATAAAAGGATGACTCTTACAAGCAGTGGGTGTAACATGTCCGATGCAGGGATTCAGATCATAGAATCAGAGAGAAGGGAATTCTGGAGTACATCTTCATCTGAGATACATGATTAGTTCAAATAACTCCCAACAAAACCATTTTGCCTGCAATATAATAGATACGTAATACACATAATCCTTGAATTTGATCTAGCAGGCCAAACATCTCAAAGCAATTCAGAGCTTTTCTGTAAAAAAAATGTGTAGTGGCTAGGCTTATAGGTGAACGTATCAGCCAATTCACATACTGCAATGTTCCCCAAACAGCCATAAACTGAATAATCAATTGCACTTAGGAGGTTGTTGACCAAGACGCCAGAAGAAGTTACCTTCTCATTTTGAACAGTGTTGTGGGATCACTAATGTTCCTCTGAACAGGCAAACAGGACCTCGGTTTAACATTTCAGCGAAGGACTGCACCTTCGACATTGTAACTCTTCCCAGCACTTGATTGGAATGTTAACATAAACTCAGAGCTTTTTGGCAGTCAGCTGGGTGTCCGACACACACCGAAACCCATCACCATGTTTAAGAGTATCCAAACCAAGCTGAGCGTTCCATGCATTCAACCTATAGGTGGAAATTTCAGAGATATTTATTGGAATGGAATGTGCACTCTCTCCCTGGAGGGAAGCATCCTGCTTACCTAATTCCAGGGAATATTAGGCAAAAATTAAGATTTGGCGACCCCAGAATTTGCAATGGGGTGTTGGTGGAATCTTAAAAGTCCCAACATGGGGCTTCAAACCAC